GTTTTGCATGAGACATGATCTTTGCTTTAGCTGCTATATTCTGAGATGCTTCCCAGTCCAAAGAGTTTTGCCAATGCTTCAACCCCCCTAGCCTATGCAGTTCAGTCCTTGCCTTGTTCTTTGGCGGAGAAGCAAATTTGGTGCTTAGTAAATTGGCGACAAGCTGATTTGTACGATGAGACATTGCCAAAGCTTCTTAGTCGATGTGCAAGAACTTGAAGTGAGGGTCACGCTGCTTCTATGCCATTCACCCACACTATTAGTCACTATCTCAACATTCTCCAGTCCTGCAGGCACCTACCGAGTGGGCTCGCACTCGCAGTGAGGACAAGCCAAAGAAACAAGTTGCAAGGCATCCTATGCTGGTTTGGATGATCTCGCAACTTCCTTTACCATGACACTAGCAGGTGTTTGAGATGCCAACTAGTGAACTAGTTTATGCAAAGCATTTATTGCTTTGGCCGAAGTGCATCCAGACCAGAAAAATGCAGCACAAGTAAGAAACATGGTGCTGCCGTTGAATCTGTCAAAAGGCAGCGGCCTGGATTCTGGACGAACATCCACTTGCCCGAGAAGAATCACCATGCCATGCCCTTTTCTGCTGTGACTCACTGCCCAAGTCTTGAGATTTCAAGACGCCAGCATGCAGCATTGATGTGCTCTGGGCTCTGTAGCTTGTTGGGCCTTTCTTCTCCATTTGATGAACAACACCTGCTTGGCATTATTTTGTCATCCACCTTTTTGTACCAAGCATACAAACGGCTGGTCAGAAGCCCTTGCTATCATTGTTCACTTCTAAGTGCTCTAGAGTTCTGTGTGACGGGAATTCTAAGATGAAACGAAGCTTCAACCGAAAGGTGGAAATTCCTTGGTTTCATCCAATGCCATTTAAAAGAAAAGATCTGCCAACCAAGAAGCCAAGTCATTGACCATAGGCTGGATATTCTGCAAGTCCCGTAGATGGGATCCGAACATGTGCAACTCCGACGTGTTGACCGTCTCATTCTTTTCTCAAGAGCAAACTGCCACGAACCCTTTTTGGCCCGACTGCTCTAGCCCCTTGCCTGAGTTCTTGAACAGATTTTCAGCATTTGTCTTCCTGCTGTCAACAGTTTTTGCTTTATGTAGATGTAGGAGTTTCATGCGAAGAAGTTTGAAGACCCTGCAGCAACTTACTAAGCCTACACTGCACAGGCCATGCACACATATTGACAGGGTGATTCTTGATTTCGTTTGAAGCCATCGTGGAACATACACAAGTGGTCCGTGTGTTTTTTTTGTGCTGGGAGCCGCAGAAGCTGGGACACCCTTGTTTGGGGCCCATGGGGGGATCTCTTTGTCGCGGAAGCCTGAGGGAAGCATCATCATGCCTGCAGTGGAGGAGGAGTCGGCTAACAGCGGTCGCTCTGCCGCAGATTTATGTTTCTTTCTTTGTGAGGAAGAACATCTATGCATTTGGTTGCCCTCAGGCACATTTACACTGGTCACCAGATTTCTCTACTTTCAGTTATTGAAAGGAGGTGGAGCTCAAAATCTGACCAAGTCAACATGCCGTTTACCATCAAAGGTTTCCAGTCCTACTTGCTTTTGCTCAAGAAACAACACTTTCCATGTGGTGTGTATTCGGCACGTAGCATTGAAGAAGTCGTGCTGTCCGGCTAATATCTTAGAGTCTTAGGGGAAACTTGGGGGTCATATTCCTGAGCACAGTTCTCCACAACAAAAGGAGAGTGTCTGGTTCGTTCACCAGCCATTACCTGGTGAGCATTTTCACTCTATAGCGCGTTGACCTTCACTTTGTGCGTGGGACTTTCAGTGAAACCAATTCCAGTGAAACGGAAAACGTGCTTGACGGTCAGTGGCTTAATCTGGCAGTCCAGTAGGACATTGAGTGGGCCCTTAAATAAGGCTAGCCGCGCATTCATCACATATTATATAAGCTTGCTGCAAAGAAGAGATTGGGCTATGGCAGGTCAAGGTTACGGTAATTAGCTATTGTTACTGTTCCACTACTTTACAGTAAAGTTTCATCTTGCCAGTTCGCCAGACCTGTTTGTGCCCTCGTCTCCCTAGAAAGCGTCAAGAACAATATCTGGTGCAAAGCTGTGCCAGCGGTTGCGAGTGAAGGGATTAGTCGTGCTATCTGTGCTGAACCGCCGCTGTGATGAACTGGAACTCCCCCCCGGGCCGAACATAGTAGACAGAATAGACATTATCGCACTGGAATTGGAACAGGCACCTGATTTGGAACTGGGATCAGCCAGCAACTGCCGCCCAACATATTTTCCACGCAAACACAAGTTTGCGAACAGAGAAATGCAACCTGTGAACATGCAGATGCATAGGCGCAACCTGTGACATCCCATTCTTTAGCCCACCTTCGGTCTTGAACCTAACTGCTACTCGCTCCCACGTTCTTAGGACATTCCGGTGTAAGGTTCACGGAGAAAGCATTTATATGTAATCATAATATAGTCATTTATTTATACCTAAGGACCCAGGAGGACCTAGGGCCACAGGAGGCAGGAATTCCGCTCGAAGCCATTCAGGCAGAAAATCTGCCGGATTCCTTGTTTTTTCTCGCTGGTTGCCATATTTTTGCTTAAGGCTGAATTTAGCAAACCCGTGTTTCTTTTTTATGTTCTTTTTATTTTTTTTTTTTCGGCCAGAGTTGTATGTGCTTTTGTTGCCCCAAGTTGGTTTTGCAAAATAGTCGATGATTTAAAGGCACAAATCGTGTTTTCGACCGCAGGCTGTTTTTACAAATCCAACCTTGAACACCAATATTTTCAAGTTCAGGCAGAATTTCCTCGCCCAAACGTCGTCCTAGATATTACACCAGTTTTTTTTTACCGGCTGAGGCCGAACTCTTTTGCTGGCCTGTTGTGATACTGGCGAAGTTGATGAGAAGCTAAAACTGCTACACGGCTCCAAACTTGTGGAACATTGCCACCTTGTTTTCATTTTCCTGGCATTTCACAGCAGTTTGGCAGCGGTACTTGTCTAGTCCACAGTACACAGTAGAGTGGCAGCCCAGCGTGCATGCTGTCTTGAAGATGGCACTTGCTGCTGCAGTTTCAAGGCTGAAGAGCACAGTGGGACGTTGCTTGTCTCAAGGTTTTTGTGGTGAGGTTGCATCGTGAACAGCCGTTTCAAGTCGGGTGGCTCTACTGATTACTATTTGAAGAAAGACAGTGGACAATCACACCCCTTTTTTGTCTATTCTACCGGTTGATTGCTTGCGACAAGTTCAAGGTTCTCTGTTGGGAACTGTTGGGGTTTGTTTCGGTTTCTGCAACAACCTGCCAATGTCACATTCACCCCAACACATTGCTTGACTCAAAAGCTCAACACCCAGGTTCACGCAGGGCTGCTGAGTCCTTTTTCGGATCCAGCAAGTTCTTGCATGAAGCTTCTTTTTGTAGCACGTGATTCCATCTGAGGCCAAGCGAAGGGAACCATCAAGTATATGGACCAAAACAAGATCTTCATGGGGCACCTCTCTTTGGCACTCAGCACAGCCACTCTTGTGGTGATGTTTGGTTTGCCTCTATTCTCCTCGCACCTGCGAACCATTGTCTTCGGACGCTTGGCTTTGCCAAGTACCATGGGCTTCTGTGCGTTGAAGAACAGATATGTGCCATGTGCTACGCCTTTACAATTGCGGACCATCGCTATGCCTGCGTCTTTGAAAATCACGTCCCTTTCCTGACCCGGGCCGCTTTCTCGGACAAATACGAACTGGGACTAAAGCTGCAGGATCACCACGTCAAAAGCTTTGGAGCGGAAGAACTTTCCCTATATAGGTCCTGTAAATAGTCGACATACGCCTTCTTGGGTTGTGAATGCTTGAGTTCTGGTTGCCGTCATGTCTGTCAGGAGACCATCGCTGTGATCCTGCAGCACATGGTTTGTATTTGCTGAAAGAGGAAGATGGCACTGAGCCAACGCTGACGAAGGCATGGAACATGAGGAAATTAGGAAATTAATTGCATAATGTTATATAACAGAACGGTGCAGCAACAAGCAATGCACTTGCCCACGTGCCTACAGACCGCCGCAGTCTGCCCCCTTCCGGGCCCCTTCCGCACCTGCTAGGATACTACCAATCCAACATGGCCAACGCCAAAGCCCAAGAGCTTAAACACCCAACAAGTTAGGACGGGTGCGACACGAAGATAGCCCTCTTGCAAAAAGCCTCTGGTAATTTTTGCACTGGAAGGCGTAGTTTTCAACTCATTGTCTAGTACGGGCATGAAGTACGGGGCACGTCTCAGTGTTCTGCCTATACTCATGGACAGGCTAACTGCTATTGATTGAAATTTTCTTTCAAAGTTCTAGGGGCTAGACTATGCTATTTATGCATATGTACGCTGTTTGAGGTAATTGCTGAGTAAGAAGTATCACAGCAACATTGTTTTCTATATGTGTGCACATGTCCACCCTTCATTCAACCTTGTCCTGCCGTGCAGCCTCCTCGGCTTACATTTTTCCAGATTCAGATAAGTCTCAGTTGTCCTTTGGAGGAACTGTGATATATTTGTACACACGTGAAGCCGCCTGCATCTTGTTTCATTGAGCAACATGTACTGTGAACTATTTGCAGGTAAAGGACTTGTCGTCATTGGAGGCCCTGCAGGGAAGGGAGCCCGTGGGGGTGGCTGCGAGACTGCTTGAATCAGTTGTGATGCGCTTCGGATTGCTGCTCTAGAAGGCACAAGCGGCAACAGCGCTTGTGTTTTTGCGCTGTGCTTCACGAAAGAATAGGTGTACTGAGTACTGACAAAAAGCGACTCATTTTGAGCAGGGGCACCTCATCGCTCCCTGGGCTCAAGTTTGTCATTGCAAAACAGTTTTTAATAACTGTTTCCACCTTTTCGACCATTTCTGCGTATTCCCTCTCTCATCTTCACAGGCACTGACTTTGGACAACTTAGACAGTGGCAGCAGTTCGATGGGGTCTTTTGCCCTAAGAACATTCTGATCAGGTTTCGGACTACATGAACATTGTGGACTGCGGCTTCATCCCATCATCCTACAAAGGGTACTGGCCAAACGTGTTTCTTGGCGACGAACGACGCTGGTTGCCCCCACAACCCGAGTCAGAAGCCAGCGGGTCGTGGACAGACTGCAGCTGCAGCTCCTTAACAGGCACAGCTTCTTCGCAGGCAGCTTTTTGGCCTATAGGAAGGGTGCTACTAGGGGCTCCTGGCATCGCTACTAGGAGCAAGGAACTAGGGCTCCTGGCCGTACTACTAGGAGCACTCTTGCTACTAGTAACAAGAAGCTACTAGGGGCTCCTGGCTTGTGGTGGGAACCATATAGGGCTTAGTTGTTGCGTTCCGTACTGCATAAAGTCTTACGACCGAATGACCAGGTGACGCGGATATTGCCCAAGTTGTCAAAGGATGCAATCCTGCTTATTTTTTGAGCATTGAAAGTAAATGTAGATTTTTCAATGACTTCGGCATTGTTGCATTTGCATTGATGCCACATAAGCGATCGTGTGCCACCCACAAACTGCAAAATGGGGATTTGGTCGGTAGGGCGACCCCGATTGTACAGATTCAGCGATTCAGAGGGATTGGTTTTGAAACTCTGATAGGTACACTGGTACACTAGCACGGTCTTGATAACGAAGCGGAATTGACATAACTCTGATCTCTGGAAAGCCTCAGGAAGCTCGGTCTGTCGCATTCGTCATCCCCTTCTCTTGTCTTGTAACAGCGTGGTTGTCCATTGAAACTAAGTATATAAAAATATGTAAAGATACTGTACAATCACTGTGCTTCCACGACATCAGCTCAGGAACTGTCTGAGTAACATAACTTGATATAGAATATAGACTGTCTTCAAAAGTGAGCGAACATCACACGTACAAGCAGATTCTTCTTTGCACCACCCAAACACACGCACGCAAACGTGTTTGTACACTACATCTCAACCACCTAGAACCTATTTTTTTCACCAAAAAGAAGAGTCACATAGAACATGCAGAGGACGCAGCGCATAGAACAAACAATCAGCATTCTGAGCCATGCTCGTAGAACAATCGAAATCCCTGCACTTAGAACTCATCCCCAACACTTGGAACACATACACGCTCATATGTGTATATCATAGGCACAATATTGTGCTTTCAGACTGCATCCAGCTTTTTTTCCCCAAACCATGCATGCTGCATTCGTGCCATTTTGGCCTGGGAACGTGCTTCCAGGATGCTGCTTCCCAAAACCAGCAAAACTAATATATATATATATATAGGTCTGGTTGTACAGGCTCCCGCAAACGAAGTCGGTCCTGCATATTTTCCTCCAAGTCGATCGATCGGGTCGTGACCAACGTGACTCAAGGGACCAAAATGGCCGCAAGCGAAAACACAAACTACCGCAATGTACGACATGTACCTGCAAGTGAAAACTGGCATTGAGACGGGCAAAAGCTCTTTTTGTTTTGAGCTTACCACAAAGGAAAATACGAAAGCCAGCCGATAGGCTAGGCTTGAGCTCTTAGACCGATCGAAGTGAGTTGAGGGGGTGTGGGGGGGGAGTAGGCCGCGAAAAAGCACCATTTGAGAGGGTGAACCCGGAGCTTGCTGGGGGAGAGCGCTCCAAAGCGAGGGTCACAAAAGCAGTGAAAATGGGGTCTGGTGATGCGAGTTGATGCAATGGACGCCGAGTAGTGCATCATCAGCATCACGAAGGGCTGTGGAGGCTATTTGGACAATGGGCATTGAGCACTGGAGTGACAGGCACCCATGTACAGAGCAACCATCCTGGTCTCTACTTTACTTGTACCGTTTCCTCGGTCGAGCAGATGCTTCTCACAGCGTCCACGTGCACCGAACGTTGTTCCGGCTTGGCCGCGCAGCTAGATGGATACAGAATAGATAGATCGATAGATAGATAGTGATAGTGATAGTGATAGTGATAGTGATAGTGATAGTGATAG